TGAGCAACCCCTGTAGCCCATTCTCGACACACATTCTCACAGTCCTGCTCATCATCCTCGCTCTTCTCTCGTTGTTCATCCACCTCTCACACACCCATAACCGTCGGAACCTCCGTCTACGACACTTGCCCGGCACAATCGCCTCTGCCGTCTCTATCGGCGGGCAAACGTCTGACTTGCTCTCCGAGAAAGAAGCAGGCCGAGGCCGTGGGATGACGGATGAAGAATTGAAAGATGCGTTGAGGTACAAGAGATTCCGGATTGACCCTTCGACGATGAAGATCGTTATGGAAGGGGAGGAGGGGTTTTTGTCTGCTACGTCGCCTAGTTATAGGCAAGGGGAGTTCAAGTGGATACCTGAAACCGTTGAGAGGATTAAAAGGGGGAGTAGGAGGGTGAGTGGGTTTTATGGAGGGAAGAGGGAGAGTAGGGTCATCGATATATATGGGAGTCCTGGTAGTAGCAGCCCTCGAAGCGCTAGAACCCCTAGGACGCCGAGGTCGGCGGGATCAGGACTGGTACCGAGAAGTGGGGAGGCGTAAAGGACATGAGTTGGTTCGTTTTTTGGACAATCTGGGGTGTTTTGGCGCTGTAGGTTACGACGATCAGGTTCTCCTTGCTCTCTCTTTTGGTCCTGTGGTCCTTGTTATCGGACTCATCTTCGTCTTTCGTCTCTTGATCTTATGAATATCCTCCTTTCCAGGTCAAGCTGATCGATGTTGTCAATGCCCAGACCTGCGAACCTTGGTTGCTTTTCTTTTCGCTCGGTGATCCTACGTTTCTTCGTTATTATAGGAGTAAGTATAGTCTCTTGTACATTATTACCTCTTCACTTGGTTGTCCTACTTCACTGAATCCAATCTACATAAAGCTGTATATACTCCGTTGTGAAAGCTCACAATCATTTCTCGGTGTAGAGTGAGAACCAAAGTGGCGCTAGCGTCAAACGCCTACTCCGGCCGCGACGCTGTTTTCACCCCCTGAGCTTGTTTCACAGACCCAATAATTGCACTGGAAGCGTGGACCGCCAGGGACCGCCCTACTCAGCTCCAGGGCGACCGTTCTATACTGGTCATCATGAGCGCCTGGCGGGGGGTCAAAGCGTTTCATGTCCGCATGTGAGGTTTTGCAAGGTTCATAAATGAGTCTAACAGCGCACCTTTGGATCTACCGGTCGAAAAAACCACCCTAAACACTCCACGGCGTGCTTAACGATTGGCATGTGAGTCGACTCGGGGCATGACAAATGAGAATTACAAGCAAAAAAAAAATCATTAAGATTATTGGGATCCATCCTGGTTCGAACAGGAGACCTCAAATTCGTTAGAGCGAGTTTGTGCGATGACCAACTACGCCATAGACCCGTATCCCAAAAGTAAAATTGCCTTGATCCAGACCCACAGTTTTGATGACAAGCCTGATGGTGTTGCGGCAGCCGTCGCTTGAAAGGAAACCAGGGGGCTCGAAAGAGAGGAATGTTGTGTGCTACGTCGGGCATTATGTATGGAGCACGGTTGCATACCGGGTAATCACATCAATGAACTCTAGACTGTTTCTGACTTATTGGAGCTGTACAGAGGAAGAACCTGGGAGCGGAATGCACGCTTAGTGTAAGGGCACTTCTATTAGGACTGTGGGTACGTATCAGAAGGAAGTGAGATGGGACAGGGTCTCGGCGCTCGGAAGCGTTTCATTGAAGGACGGCCAGTGGGAAGGCCAAGTCGGTCATTGAGCGGCCGTGGGCGGAGGGTTCTGGGGGACGCTGACAGAAAAAGAGTAGCTCTGTTCTGGAGTTGCATGGTACCTTGAGCACATTGCAAGCCACATTGGAGAGAAATAGCACGAGTTACAGCACGTTGTTGCGGGCAGTACAAAGCAAGACTAAGCAAAGTGGCACCAAATAGGCGCTCGTTTGCTCAGGCTGTGCCGCTTGCGATGCTTCTTTGACAACATTAACGATCAATCTCGAAATCGCCCCCCATATAAAGAACAAATGCTTGATTATCACTGTTCCTTGTCGCCATGCTGCCCCCGGGTGCTGCTCCCCCAGCAACTCCTCGCTCCGCAGAGCCAGTCAAGCCTGATCCACCACCACCTTCACCGCCCGCGACCCCTCGACAACGGCTCTTGGACGAATCTGACGACCAGCACGTCCAATTTGCAAGTTACCCGGAGAAAACATCCCAAGTAACGCTCAAAAACATTGCGCCAGCAAAGACATGGACTCCCCTTCCCCTACGCCCATACGTTTATCTGCCATATGTTCTCTTTTTGATTCTTCTTGCAGTTGCGTTGGAGGTTGCATTCCATTTCAGCCAGAAGAACAGCGGCTTTAAGGTTCACGGCAATCCCAACGCTCTCGGGAGACAGTCAGGAGTATGGCACTACATTTACACACTGCCTCCCGTTGCTCTCGCTATGTTCGTGGTAGGCATGTGGGCCTGGACAGACATAGAAATCAAGAAACTTCAGCCCTATGTCGACCTCGTTCAGGGCGATTCACCGCCTCACCGTTCACTGTTGTTGGATTATACGCGTCACCATACTTTACTGGTGTGGTGGCCTGCGTTGACCAATAAACACTACACAGTCTTTCTGGCCTCACTGCTCGCCATCGTTTCTCTGACATTCCAACCCCTCGCAGCCGCGCTCCTCGATGTGCGTGACATTTGGTGGTCACTGCCGGTCATGACAACCACACCAAACACTCTCCTTGGTCTCGCTCCCGGTCTCTCCTCACCTTCTGCCAGCGGTGTCCCGGACATCAACAGTCCGCTTGGGGACATGACCGCCTTCCTCTCCGCTTCCGGGTTCGCCGCTGCTTCAGCCCTGTACCCTGACCTTCCGAAACCGCCGTTCGTGACCATCGACCCCGTATCTGACGACGGTTGGACAGTCATGGATGTTGCCTTCCCAAAATCCCTTCCACGTAATGGCACCACAGTCGCCATGAACGTCACCGCCCTCCATACATCTCCCAACTGTCGCAGGGTACCAGTCAGCATGACTCAACTGGCCGACGGAAACTGGACTAACGTCGTCAAAGACGAAGCCACAAATTGCGGGCTCACATGGAACGTTACACGGACCGGACCGAATCTGTTCGGTGCCAGCGTTGCGGTGTGCGCGAATGCGACTATCCCCTCACCTAATGAGGATAATACAGCTGGGAAGAGGGAGACGAATCCGGTTGTTTTTTGGTTCTTTAGGTATGCATCTCTCCTTCTTACCATCTGCTTGCATATTGACGAGGGTTGCGAAAAACACATAGATACGTCCCTACCGCCAATGTGTCGGCGACATTATGCGAACCCCAAATCGAGCTATTCGATGTTACGGCCACGCTCTCGCTCGTACCCAACTCCAATGTGGACGCGGATGTCCAATCGTCGTTGACCAAAGTGGCTATTCGGAACACATTCGATGCGAGGAGCTCGGCGCACACCCAGTTTGCAGGGAATCTGAGTGCTTTAGGTCGGTTTTTATGATTCTCTCAAACATGGACTTTCCCTAACGCTTTTACTTTTCCCCAGTCAACTCAAGTACAAATACAATTCCCGCATTCAACGGTCTCGATTGGGATCGGGCGTTCACCTCAACTGACTCAAGCGTACGTGATAGGTTGCAGGGTGCGAGGTTAGTTATGCCTGCGGCAATCTGGCAGGCGGCTACGAGGGGCGGAGGGAGTGCGGGGGTTGAAGGGGCTTTCGCTAGCGATCGGTGAGTACGAGTGTGAGCCTTTGAATGTCTGTGAATCAGAGTTCTCATTCCCGTCTTCGTTTTTGGTAGATTCGTGAAGTTGAGCGGCCAAGTATACGCTTCGTATCTCTCGTTGCTCGCGAAGAGTTTGTATTTTGTTCCCTATCGGCAAGGACAGGCACAGGACGAATCGGTAGATTTGCTCGTCAAGACGACCGTGAAGAGGTTATTTTTGAGGTGTGTTATTGTCTATCCGTGGACAGTGCGAATATTAAGCAACCCCCTGTAGTCCATTCTCAACACACGCCCTGACGGCCCTCCTCATCCTCCTCGCTCTCTTCTCGTTGTTCATCCACCTCTCGCACACCCACGCCCGTCGGAACCTCCGTCTACGACACTTGCCTGGTACAATCGCCTCAGCCGTCTCCATTGGTGGACAAACAGGCACTTCTGCCTTGCTCTCCGAGAAAGAAGCAGCAGGCCGAGGCCGTGGGATGACGGATGATGAATTGAAAGATGCGTTAAGGGAGAGGAGATTCCGGATTGACCCGTCGACGATGAAGATCGTTATGGAAGGGGAGGAGGGGTATTCGTCTGCTACGTCGCCTAGTTATAGGCAAGGGGAGTTTATGTGGATACCCGAGGCTGTCGAGAGGATTAGGAGGGGTAGTAGGAGGGTGAGTGGGTTTTATGGAGGGAAGAGGGAGAGTAGGGTTATCGATATGGATGGGAGTCCTAGAAGCCCTCGAACCCCTAGGACGCCCAGGGGTGCAGAGGCAGGTCCGGTACCGAGAAGTGGGGAGGTGTAAAGGACATGGGTTGATTCATTTCTTGGAAAATCTGGGGTGTTTGGCGCTGTAGGTTATAGTACGACGATCACGTTCTCCTTACCCTTGTTTTTTGGTCCTTTGGCCCTTGTTATTGGTACTCATCTTCGTCTCTTGATCTTGTCAATATACCTCCTTGTTAGATCGATCTGATTGATGTTTGCGCTCGGGAACCTTTAGGTAAGGAAGCGAACCTCAGAAGGTGAATGATACGATGCGGGACTACGTGTTGAGTATTACTCAGTTCGAGTTCGAAAAACTTGTTCATGAGTGGAACCTATCCTGGTCCAAATAGGAGACCTCAATTGGCATATTGTGCAATAGCCGCCTACGGTTGATCGTTCGAATCTCCTTCCAACGCTCTTTATAGCATCTTCCAGAAAAGAAACACAGCCAATGAGTCTGCCACAATAACTTCGCTAGGCGCCGCACTGCCCTTTGGCCTCTATATATTGCAACTGCACTTGCAGTTACGGGTCCATGGCGTAGTTGGATATCGCACAAGCTTGCCAGGCAAATTTGAGGTCTCCTGTTCGAACCAGGATGGATCCCGCTCATAAGTGAATCTTTTTCTCAGGCTTTTAGATCCTCCTGAATCCAGCTCTCTTGCCGGCGGGGAATCTCGTTTTGATCTCATAGAGCGTATCGGAGGTCTACCAAAAATAATACAAGTACTGTAGAAGATTGCAGTACGTACACGGGAGTCGGGAATGTGTGTAGAGTCGATGTAGAGCTCAGCTTGTGTGCGCCACCGCTTCCTTTTCAAGAGCTGTTTTTATGTGGTTGAAGAGAATACGGCGACCATAGCTTCTAACTTCTTTGTCGCAATGAATCATTGCACTTAAAGATCCTTCCTTCATTCACTCTCCCATAAGTCATAACGGTATTCCTCATCTGCTTCTCCAAGAATGATATCTTGCGAGCCAGCCTGTCGGATACGAAGGATGGCCCGACTTGCGAATAAGCAGTGAAGTGTGCGAGTTAACCTTGTGGGGGGGATACTCGGTCAGGATCATCGACCCGGTTCGATCGAAGAGGCCGTAGCGTACGAGGTTAGGAGATGACTCATATCTGGCTAGAGCGCAATGAAGGGGGAAGGAGGATCAGTCGGGGTTGGGTAGGAACTTGGCGAGGTGCAACACTCACCGCGAGGGAGGCAGAGGCTGCCACATTGATCACAGATACCACTGTACCCGCCAGAGGCGAGGTCAGAAATCAGGCATGGTCAACACACTCTCGCAACGAGGCCACGCCTGAGAATTCGAGAACGTAGACGACTCACCAATGATAGCAGCGTAAAACACGATTCCTGGGAAACGAAAAGGCGTAATTTGGATTCCATGCTACTCGTACGAGTGACGTGCGGACTTACCATTGCGATAGACGGCCTTCTCAAGCTCGGAGCCAGGGTGTCCGACGGATTTGACTATCAGTGAGGGAGGAGATTGTGATTGAAACCGGGGGACCTCAAAGAAACCAGGCTCATAGTACATACAGGTCTTGAGTCCAGGTATCGATATCATGATCAAGGCACCTAACCACTTTCTGTCACAACCATAATGCAACCTGGACCGAAGAAACCCCGACTGACCGAGGTTGAAGGCCATCATCATCGACCAGACGAGATGCACGAAGCGTTTGCCTCCCGTTAAGAAACACCCACGGTATATGGGCGTGTTTTCGGCGGCTTCTGCCATCATCGTCAACTCGGGAAACTCTGAAACTGAGGATCAAGATGAGTGACGCCGCGCAATATGATCGCAACTGAAAGCTCACATTGTAGAGATTGTAGAAAGACGCCACCGAACGCAATGGCTGGGACCCAGCAAGAGATGGAGAACAGCACGATCAAAACTCCCGATAGAGGTGTCTTGCCCCATATAGCCCAAAGTCTAATGGCTAATAAGGCTGGTTTGTGAAAGTGAACGCTTCAACGAGGCCGCTGAGAAAATAGATGGAACCTGTCTCTCACCCTCGGACATCAGGATTCCCGTCGCAAAAGTCCCTGTGAAGGCAAGTGAAGAAGTGAGGGGTAAGTGCGAAGAGCTGGTTTGGTACAGAAGAAAGAGGGGACCCGGGAGAGTAGCCTCCGAGATCATTGCACTCACACCCAGCGAGGGAATAAAAAACGCCACAGGAACGAGGACTCAAGTTGGCTCCAAACGAGTCTAGAACGCGGTCATTCAAGTCCATTTCAGCTGAAGGTGAGAGCAGGTAGTGAAATTGACTTGCACGTACAGTAGAGTACCAGACCGACCGAGTCGAAAAACGGGAGATATCTCTGGACGATATACAAGACCTTCACAAAAGTCCACCGCGCTTGCCATATGTGCCAAACTTCGAGGTCGAGTGTGAGGAAGAAATCGTAGATGAACAGGAAAGCACTGGATACTGTGCAGAGCACGAGTCGAGTTACGTTCAATGAGTCCCGTAGAATTCGAATCAAGGTAAGGGGATCTGTGTACCATTCAAAATCTACAGAGAGAGATAGAGATAAATGAGCCGCAAACGCCCGCCAATAGCAGGCTCGACCCACTTTGACCAATTCACGATGTCCTAGGAGTGCAATGATATCTTCAATTTTTATTTCCTGGGTCAACGAAGGAGAGATAGACATCTTTAAACGCTGGGGAGGTGGTGGTGGTGGTGGTGATGCACACGGACGAGGCTTGAGCCAATTTATGAAGGTACTGAAGTAGGCTTGTGACTCGTACATGCTTGGTGCTGACGGGGAGGATGGAATATGGGAGATGCCGGTGTGATTAAACTTAAATGGTGCTTGATCTACTGAGGTGAATCGTGAAGCTCGGGCGTCGTGGAAGTCGTGGCTTGCTGTACAGCTCTGTACAGTGTGCTGGAAAAGTAACCGGAGGGTGTGAAAGCCAAAGAATTCGCTGCTCGAAAAGGCAAAGTGTGAATGCGAAGAAAGCCGATTTCGTTGTTGATTCAACAACACGAAGTATAGTTCAATGCAAAGTCTGAGACTTTGCCGTCTTGACGGGGTTTGGACTCCGCGTATCGGACCATTCGCGCCTGAATCCAGAGTGCTATAAAAAAACAGGATCTGCATCGAGGCTTTATGGGGTCAAAATGTTCCAGACTGAAGTGACTCAACAGCATACATTCACTGTACAGCATAAGGGAATACCTGGGCCGGATTATAGAGGATTGTTTCAAGACTAGTACAGCAGCCTGAACGGCACCGAGGCGTTCGCCGTTGATGGTCATGAATATTAATCATTGGTGACCGGTAACCGTACAGTGTACTTGCTAAAGCCTGCTAAATCCCGACACTGTGTGTAAACTTACGTAAGGAGAAGTCGGATTACCGAAACGCTAAGCGCGCTTTGACTTTCTTCAAGACGCGTGCCTAGTGCCAGTGCGTCCTGCTGTCCCAGTTGGAACGCATGAAGTAACTAATTGGTACACCTTCAGATTTGAGTAATTGTTGCACAACCCGTCCTCAGCCTCGAGTGAGCCCCCGGTTTCCTTGCGAGCGCCGCGCCAGTACCCTTAGATCTCCCGTGGCTGTATCTGCTGCGGCTGTACTTTACATTAGGTACGGGTCCATGGCGTAGTCGGTCATCGCGCAAGCTTGAAATTGCGAATTTGAGGACTCCTGTCCAAACCAGGATAGATCCCCTAAGATAACCCTGACTGTTTTGGAATTCTTCTGAATTCACCTCTGTTGGCGGGAAATCTCGTTTGTCTACCCAAAAGCAACGATACGCGTACTTGGGAGTCGGGAATGCATGTAGAGTGGCTACTTGCATGGGGTCTAACAGAACCCGGCGACCAGATGATTTCAACTTCTCCCTCTGTGCAGCGAATCACTACAATCAAGGATCTTGCTTTTCATTCATTCTCCGCGAAGCCTATTCCTCATCTAGTTCTCCGAGAACGATATCTTGCGAACCAGCTTGTCGGATACAAAGGATGACCCGACTCGCGATTAAGGAGTGTAGTGTGCGAGTTAGCCTTGTGGGGGGATACTCGGTCAGGATCATTGACCCGGTTCGGTTGAAGCGATCGTAGCGTACGAGGTTAGAAGATGGCTCATGTCTGGCTAGAGGAGCGCAATGGAGATCAGCCGGGATTGGATACCTGGCGAGACACATCACTCACCGCGAGGGTGGCGGAGGCTATGACATTGATCACAGATACCACTGTGTCCACCAGAAGCAAGGATAGAGGATAGACACGATCAGCACACTCTCGCAACTGAGGCCACGCCCAAGAATCCGAGGACGCAGACAACTCACCAACGATAGCAGCGTAGAATACAATTCCTGAGAAACGAGAAAGCGGGATTTGAATTCAATGCCACTCGTATGAGCGACGAGGGACACAAGGCAGACTTACCGTTGCGATAGACGGCCTTCTGGAGGTCGGAGCTACGGAGTCCGACGAACTTGACTACCAGTGAGGGAAGAGATCGAAATTAGAACCGGCGGAGAAACCGGGCTCATACATACAGGCCTCGAGTCCTGGTATCGAAATCATGATCAAGGCACCTAACCATACCGTCAGAAAACCATAACACAACCTTATCCGAAGAAACCCCGACTGACCAATGTTGAACGCCATCATCATCGACCAGACGAGATGCACGAAATGTTTGCCACCCGTTAAGAAACACCCACGGTACAAGGGCGTGTTTTCGGCGGCTTCTACTATCATGAACAACTCGGAAAACTCCGAAACTGAGTTCGGGTGAGTGGGGCCGTGCAAGGGAATTGCGGCTGGGGACTCGGACCCACATTGTAAAGAGTTTAGGAAGACGCCGCCAAAAGCGATAGCTGGGACCCAGCAAGAGATAGAGAACAGCCCGATGAGGAATCCTGATAGAGGTGTTTTCCCCCATACCGCCCATAGTCTAATGGCTAGCAAAGCTGGTTTGTGGGGGTAGGCATTTCAACGACGCGTCGAAAAGAGAGATGAAACGTCCCACTCACCCTCGGACATTATAATTCCCATGGCAAAAGTCCCTGTGAAGGCGAGTGGAAGAGTGAAAAGTCGGAGTGAGTGCGAGCACAGAAGAAGGTGAGGGAGGGGGACCCGGCAAAGAGAAACCTCCGAGCATGAATCAGTGCACTCACATCCGGCGAGGGAATAAAGAACGCCACAGGAACGAGGGCTCAAGTTCGTCCCAAACGAATCTAGAGCGGGGACATTTATTTCAGCTGAGGGTGAGAGCAGGTAGTAGAACTGGGCTGAACGTGCAGTAGAGTACCAGGCCGACCGAATCGAGAAACGGGAGATATCTCTGGACGATATACAGAACCTTCACAAAAGTCCACCGGGCCTGCCATATAAATTTAACTTCGGTGTCGAGAGTGATGAGGAAGTCGTAGATGAACAAAAAAGCACTGGATACTGTGCAGGGCGTGAGTCGGGTCAAAGTGTCCCGTAGAATTCCAATCAAGAGGGGATGTGTATGTACCATTGAAGATCTGTAGATATAGAGAGGATGAGTCGCAGACGATCACGATTCGGATAGCAAATGCAACTCACCTTGACTAATTCACGATGTTTCAGAAGTGCAATGATATTTTCAGAGTGACTGCCCTGGCTCGACAGAGAGATAGGCATCTTTGAGCACTAGTGAGAAGGTAGCGGTCATGCACATGGATGGATTAGGCCCAAGCCGATTTATGAATGCGTGGAAGAAGGCTTCGTGATTGTTTGGGGCTATGCCTCAAAAGGAAAACGAATTCGACGTTGGTGATGGTTGATGTTGATCTATGTTGATGCTGACAGTGACTTGGACGGGGAGAATGGACGATCGGAGATGCCGGTGTCATCAAACTCGAATCGTGCAACGGGAGAGTGTGTAAGTCAAGCGGTTGGCTGTCAGTGGAAAGGCGAAGTGCGAATGCGAGGAAAGCTGATTTTGTTGATTCTACGACACGAAGTATCAAGTTCAACGTAGGCCCGCAAATTTTAATTTTGCCGTTTTGACAGATTTCCTGTACGCACTTGCAATTGAGCCCAGAGTGCTAGTCTCGCGTGCCAGAGTGCTACATATAGAACAGGATCAGAGTCGAGGTGATATGGGGCCGATATAATGTTCCAAACTGTACTAGCTCCTACAGCCTAGTGCAATCACTGTACAGCAGTCTGAGATGCACCGAGGTGACAATGGTTATCTGTGGCTAGTGGTCGTAGTGAGAGCCTGATGTGCGAGGTGGTTGCGATCTGGCACATAACATACGAAAGGGGAGATCGGATCAGCGAAACGCGTAGTGTATGCATATGGCCGTTTCTTGTTCGAGCTTCAAGATGCGGAGTCCCACGCATCCCACGCTCCTGGTCCGAATGTCTGAAGCAACTGTTTAGGCCCACTCACTATAACCACACTTAATCGGACAATCGAAGCCCTTCATATTCGAGTAATCGCTGCCCAGCCCGTCCTCTTCGAGTTGGTCGCACTACTATCGGACTAGTAAAGGACGCGCATGTTTAGACGGCAGGATCAAAGTTCATTCGACTGCCAATAAAGCTGATTCTTGTAATTAGTAGCTATATCGTCTCTCGTTTGCGGCGTTTCTCGAGCCGGTGATATGACGTCGCAAGAGGATCCTTTTCATCAGAGCTTTCAGTTTCTCGAACTTGGTCATGGCAGGGGCTGGTGGTGGTGCCGTCGGCCTATAGCCGAAGATGCAAAACGAATTAATGCAACTGGGTTGGGATCTAGGAGGCCAAAAACGCACCTGGAAGTAACAGGGTCCGGAATGAACGAGTATTCGACGCGGGGAGCGATAATCCCCCGCTCGGAGCATTTGGGTAGATGTTCTCTCAAGCGTATAATGTCCAATCGTAGCATGACTTGGACTGGGGAACACTCGTCTGGCGTATCATACGATAAGGCTTTAGGCTGTTGTTTTACATCCGTGGATCTGAACATGATGTAAAAGTTGGGAACCAGTCGTTCAAGGGAGGAGAAGTAAGGACGTTGGAGGATAGCTTCCAGAGTTCTCCAATCTGACGAGGATCGCGTGCTGTTGAGAGAGGTGATCCTGAGAGTTGTGAGCGGAGAAGTTGCGATTGGGAGCCTGGATAGACCACGTCCGGAGATGCCATCGAGGAATGATATCAGCTCATGAGGTGCAATGAGAAGTTCCAATTCCCGAAGGTGAGGGTATTCTACTAGAGGGTCGTCGTCTGCAACGATTGAGCGCCAGGGAACTGATCGGAGAAGACGGAAAACATACGGAATGAAGAAACGAAATCACGAATACCAAGACTATCCGTTAAATCCAGTCTGACGCTGTTCAGGGAAGAACGAGCAGAGACCATCAAACTTCGGACCTCTGCTACTACCTGGACACCATGATGCCTTGGCAACGACTGCGATGCGACTCGTAAGGTCTGCAAGGCAGGTGAAGGTACGAGGAGTCCGACCAGCCGCGCGTCTTTCATGTTTTGAAGTGAGATGGCCCGGAGAGTCGAACGACATGCCAACTCCTTTGAATTGCGAACGTCGAATTCTTCTATTTGTAAAGCTTCATCATCGATAGGTTCACCACACCCGGTCATATTGAGTGAGTCCAAAGATTCAATAGCTTGCAGGACATTCAAAAATGTGCCGCAATTGTCGAAACGGGTGTAATAGAGATGCAAATCCTTGACAGAGCCGAATATCTCTGAAGGCAGCGGTACGGACGCATCCAAGTCGACATAGTGTAGGTGAAGGCTTCTGATACCCGAAAGTATCGTCGATAATGACCGTCGTTTGTCGGAAGATCGCCAATTCCAGAGTTTCTCCAAAGAAAAGGTTTGTCGTCGACACATCCATTTTATGTGGTAATCCGTTATCACAAGGGTCTGAACGCCAGCCGCGGTGAAAGTTTCGAGAGGGCTCTCGCACAGCTCAACGAATCGGAGGGCTGAGGTCGGTTTATCCAGATGGAGATCCAGTCGCAAGTGATTGAAGGCCTGGGAACGTGAGGCAGATACCCATGAGCGGCAAACCAAAGCGAATGTGCGCAAATCGGAATTGGGGAGCCCTTGGAAGATTGAAAGGAGGATTTCGGGTGGTAGGAACATCGGGTATCCTGTAGACTTCGTCGACCTAGCCATTTATGTACTCGTCATGAACGTGTTGAGGTCAAGCTGTCAACGGTACGTCAAGATACATGAACATACATGAACAGAGGGCGGTACAGTGATCACACCTGTGTCTTCAGGAGTCTTCAGGAGAAACTTCGATTCAGAATGTTCTGAGGAAGGTCAGTGCGTTGTGAGAGTATCAGGAGGTCAAGTGAGAGCATAGCATCTCAATCAGAATCACCCCGTCCTGGGTACAGACAACTACAAACGAATCATAGAGTTGAGTAGGGGTGTTAGTTGTATATGAGACTGGCATGAGCAATCCGAAATATCGTAGAACGTGAGCGAGCGAGCAGAAGAGAGCAGGACTCAGGAGAGCTGAGGCAAACATTGATATTACAAATGGGGAAACCGGATCAAGAACCGCGATCAAATGCTTCCGTTTCGCTTCGACTTACTTGTCCTCCGTCCGCAGCTTCTACTTAGCCGCTAGCGCCTAGATTGCTGGACTCGCTGGAATGTAGTCGGTCGGTTTTCCAGTTTACTCGTATCTTAGCATACTCACGATGTCCTTCATGAATATGTCTCGG